TTTAATAGAATAAATGGATTAAGAATAAGAATAAAAGAAAGAGAATGGAGGAGAAAAGATAGTGCAGAGAATGTGAATTAATATAGATGATAACCAACCACGAGAATAAGACTCGGACTTGAAATCAATCCATAGGTAAAACACAAACAATAGGCTAAATCCCACTGCAAATGATTGGAAGCCACGAACCGATGAAATCACTCGACCCGATTTGAGATTCTAAATGCGAGGAAATCACTCCCTAACACTAGAAAATTATAAAAGTGAAATTCAATTCAAGATGTAAAAAAAAGGTCGTCATTACAATGATAGGCAAAGACCTTATATAGAAGTCCTTGAGGAAAATAAAATGCAACAAATAATAAACGAAACAAACTAAAAGGTAAGTCTAACTATAAGGAAATAAATAATTAGGGAAGTTTTAGATATGGAATTATATTATATGGAAACTTATAATAAAAGGAAATATATATTAAGGTACTTCTAGAAGCCTCCATAATAAGTGATGATTCCCTTAATAATCTTCCATGATTAGCGATTCTCTACATAACTGATGATTCCCTTGATATACTTCCATGATTAATGATGATTCCCTTGATAATCTTCCATGATTAGTGATTCTCTCCATAAGTGATGATTCCCCTGATAATATTCCATGATTAGCGATTCTCGTGATCTTTCAATTGGAATTCTTGCGGATCCCATTGAAGAAGCGTCAGGTCAAGGCTAAGTGGTCTCCAAGCATCATCCTTAAATTGATTCTCCATGAAAAATTGTATGATCAATGCAGTGATGGATTTTTGAAACTGTCGAGCTCGGCTTCGAGTGATGGGTCCCACGGGCATTTGAATGCTTGAAGATTGGACGTCCTCGTCACTTCTCACTCTTCTTCATTCCCGCCAACCGACACCCTCAACCACCGCCTTCCTCTTCCTCTTCAGCCGCAACTTCGATCCTCTTTCAGTATATTTAAAAATAATCAATTTTCCATGTTATTAAAAAAAATTCAAATTTCTAAATCAATTTTGTGCATATGCTTAATCTTTGATTTAAAGTTCTTTCACTCTATCAATCATGTTTAAATTTCATTTTTTTTTAATTTTTTTTCTTTTTTTTTTCAGAATCATATTATTATAATGATTATTAGTGTTTGAGATTTTGATAGTATTGTCTTAGTCTTGCAGGAAACAGATGGATATGTTGCCTTAGTCTTGCAGGAACGTTTCTAGACTTCTTCAATACAAAATACCTTAGCTAGTACGCATTCAAGTCGAAAACTTAAGCTTCCCATTAACATTTGTTTGATGAATTTTGCTTGAATAAAAATTGATTTGTGGCCATTTCTAAAACTAATAAACTAGGATGGCTAGCAATATTTTGAGTTTTGATGATGTATCTTATTAACAATTATGTAACTGACTCGCGCTAAAGTATGGGCATAGCCTAGCCTTATTGCTTGTTTTAAAGCTTAATTTAATACTTGAATTCTAAGTTCTAAAACATCTTTGAAATTACTTGATCTTAGTTCTATTTGATAAACTATAGGTCTATGTATTTTTGGTACGGGGTTTACATAAAAGTGTTCACTACTTTGAGTTGAGTTTAATCAAGTTGAGCATAAGTTGGTTGACTTGTTTCACATCAACTATATTTAACAACAAACAAAAGGATTCACCTGAACATCATTTTTTTTTCCAGAATCGTATTATTATTGTCTTATTCTTTTTTTAATATTATTGATTTTTTTTTAATATTTAGATTGTAAATGTTTTTTTTTTCTTGTAGGTAACAAAATTTTTCATACGCACTTTGAAATTTTCAATAATCTTATTCCTCACGAACCAGAGCTATATTATCCCCAAATGGCTAGTCCATTTGATCCCTATCAAATACGTCAAGAGGAAAGCGGGAGTGAGAGTCGGACCGATAAAGCGAGTAGAAGTGGACAATATTGTCGCAACAAAGGATGATGAATATAAAAACAAAAAATAATGCTGAAACTATTCTGACTACTCATCAGTATTATTAAAATTTTTGTATAATATTTTTTTCATTGTAATCTATTTATCTTGACATTAAAGTAATTTAATATAATTTTTTATTTTACTATTTAAAAAATATTTATATGAATATTTAATTTTATTATTTTAAATTTAAAATTAAATAAATGTTTGATGTTTTATAGCAAAATACTGGGAAAATTTTGATAATTTGGTTTGATGTTTTGTTACGGAAGGATACAACAAATAGGTACTCAATATTGTCGCGGAATGTTGCAACAATTTGTTGCGGTCTTCCGCAACAATACCAATAGTCATGAAGAATCTAGTGCGGACTTCATTCTGCAATATTTTTGCAAAAATTTATTAAATTTGTCACGGAACCATATACTTTACGCGCCAAAAGTTTATGAGAATATTACATTTTTTTAGTAGTGAAAGAAATATTAACAAACACTAAACTGTAGTTCGCACTCTGTAAAAATTAATTAATGAGTAATAATCACAAAAATACGATTAGATTAAGATAAACAAATAAAAATAAAACAAAATCGAAAAAAAAAAAAAAACACAATCTTACTTTCGCAAAATCAGAACTTTCTGGGATAACTAAGTGGGGGAGGAAGTGTTCGACTTCAAATTTTCAAAACAATCTGTAAAATTTACTTAACCATAAATAAACATGAAATAAAATATTAAAATAAAACGATAAAATAAAATAAAGATAAAAAGAACGTAACCTATCTTCAACTGCAATTTTACATTCAAAAAATCAAAACTTTAGTTACAAAATACCCATATACTTAAATGGTGTTGGCCAAAGGGGGAGAGAGTATTCAATCTCAGAATTTCAAAACTTATAAAATATGTTTAACCATATGTAATGAAAAATATAAATATATTAAGATAAAAAAATAAATAAATAAATAAAAAAGAGAGATAAAAAGAATGCAATATTTATTCATCGTATATACCACAATTACCTTCGAAATATCAAAATTTTTAATCACAAAATGCCCACGTGTTAAGATGGAGGAACTCAAATGGAAGGTTCAACCTCAAAACTTTTAATTGAAACTAAATAATCATGAAAACTATAAAGTTATTATAATAAAAAAAAGGGTATAAATAAAACAAAAAATGAAAAGAAAAAAGAAAACAATCTTGCTTCCAACAGTGAAGAATACCCAAGAGTGTGGTGCTACTGCAAATTTTCACTTTAACTTTCCAGAAAAATTTTCTCCGGCAAAATTTTGGCGTAGAACCCAAAAACTACAAAGAAATTATGGAGAACAATCACATTTGTTAAAGGATAAGAAGTGAAGAAAATTTTTTTTAAAAAAAAAAGAAAAAATGAAAGTTTATAATATCATAGAGAAATTTGCAAACTTTCAAGGTGATTGTTTCCAAAGTGCATGAAAAATTTGTGCTTTAAGCTAACTAAATTGATTAAAAAACCAACGATACAAGTTACTTCCTCCGTCAATTTCTAACGTTTACATATTTCTATTTTCATCCGTTCAATTTAAAGATTTTTATTTCTCTTTTTAGTAACGCTGGACTTACCACTAACTACTAATATTTTTTTTTTTTACACTTATAGATCATCTTACCCTCATTTTATTATACATTTATATCTAAAATTAAAGATAATTTGGTCTTTACACTATTATATCTATCCGCAAAGCATGTAGACATTTATTTGGGGCCAATTCAAGACATGACATAGGTAAATTACAATGCCACATTGATAAATATAATGCCAAAGGAATTTAAAGATATTGATCAAGCTTTATTAGACTTTGACAGTACAATTCTTGGTGTTAGGATACGGAAATTTAATGAAGAACGATTTAGGAAGCTTATTGTCTTAAGATGATGTATCAAGCATGAGTTATCTTTCCAATATATAGAATATGAAGCATTTTGGTCTCTTTTCACCTACTTAGAGCCATAATTTAATCACATCTCAAGGAATAAATGCATGCATATTTTGGTAGAATTTGTTTCATATATGATTTGTGGACTTATATTCCATAGATAGTTATATTTGCTTGACATCGTATTATATTGACAATGACTGGGTGCTATAAAAGAAAATCATCGATTTCTCTTATATGCCACCGGCTCATTCTAGTATTGTTTTATATGATAAGATTTGTGGCTTGTTGGAGAATTATAATAATATTAATAATTAAAAAAATCTTCTCCATTATATTAGATAATGCCTATGCAATGATGTGTTAACTAAATTTTTTTGGGACAAACTTTCTTTGAAATGCAAGCTTATAGGTTGTGGTTAATTTTTACATATTCGTTGTTGTTGTCATATTATCAATTTTATTATGCAAGAAGAGTTGAAAAATATTGATCAATCGGTTTCACTAAAAAAAAAAAAGACGGATTAAAAAATCTATGAATAAAATTCCGTGAGCATTATGTTAGTAAATACCTCTATTTTACTTATGACTAATTTATTAATCAAATAATCAATTCTTATTTTTTGCTCTAACAATTTTTTACAATTTTTTTTTTCTTATATCATTGTGCGAATTGTAAGGATGATATATTGATCTAATTTGAAAAGACAAACAATGAATCCAGCAATTTCATTATGTACTAAGAGCATATACAATTGATGTATTTTGGAAGTCATCCCATTTGATTTGAAGGCTAGGATTGTAATTTTACTACACAATGAATCATATATTATATTCTTCTGCGGCCAAGTGGAAGCCAAGGCCAGACGGATCTGAAACAATTTATCTGTTCTATTTTATTTTGTATATAAAGAAAACAGCTTTCTCGGTAAAAATCATTGTGCAACTTCAGTAATAATTTGTACTGAAATGAGTACTCCGGGAGCTTTTTATTTGTTTTCCATTGTACATGCTAAAGGCACCATAAATCAAACTTTTTCAGGCTTGTGACCTCATTTTCTTTAACTGGTTTGAGTCGCGGATTAAAACGGGTCAATCCAATCCGGAGTCGGGCAGGCCCACTTGACAGCTTCATTATTAAAAGATTAAAAATCAAAATGCCAAATTCGAAAAGAAACCCCAAATTCGAGAATGGGGAGCCAATTCAACGATTCAGATGCTGACTGGGATCATCTCCTCACCGAAGAAGATCTCCGAGCAATCGATGCCGCCGCCGGTGTTCCGCCTCATTCTATGAAACATCGCGCTCGCACTGATTTCGACGGGGATAGCGCCTCCGTTGATTCCCCTCCCATAATGCGCCGCCGATTGCCCTATTCACTCTTCGTTTTCCAGCAACGGCTTAACAATAACAATCCATCATCCTCGTTAGCGGCGTGTAACAGGAATCGCTTTTACACTCGCAATGATACTTCTTCTGCTTTTCCAGGTAATATGCAAGTTTTTTTTTTTTCCTTTTATTTTTATATTCTTAATGCATTTCGAATTTTAGGTCTTAGTAGATTGACCTTTTTTATCTAGTAAGTTGAATTTTAGCGTGTGTTGGATCCTATGGACTTTAGTTGAAAAGCTGCTGTTCTCGCCAATAGCATGCTTTTTGCATTCTGCCTCTCCTTTGCGAAATTGAAGGGATATGAAATATAAGATGATGTGTTTTAGTATATCTTATTGAATACAACCACATAGTTTTGGCCATTCTAGCAATTTATATGGCTTCATTTCAATGTTCTGAGCAAAATCTTTACTGACTGTTTAAGCAGTATTGCTGGATTCCACTGCAAGACATTTTTCTTTGCACGTAGTACTTTTGTTGGTATTTTAATTTGTACATTTGGTTTTGGCTTTGGTTGCATAAATGAAGAAAATGTAATGCTTATAATTGATGGTGCAGATACAATTGCATGTAATGTTGGGAATTATTAAATTTTTAATGTACTGCTGTTTGTACTTTATTGATGTAAATTGATTAGAAGCTGTGTAACTTGTCTTTCGAGGAAGATAAAAGTTAAAATATGGGTGGATACTTGCAATAGGTATTTCTGATTTTGAATGTTCCAAATTTGTTAGAGATAATGAGAAAAAATTTTGAAAAATGTTTGGAACACAGAAATTTAAAGTGATTATCGATATCGATGCCAATTAATATACCTTGATGATATTTACATAAGCTAGGCTGTGTTCATTTGTATGTGTGTTTTCTCTTACTTTTTCATTTTTATTATTAAATCTACCATTTTTTGCAGAAAAAAAATCTCTAAAAATAATCTCGTACTTTTATTCTCCATTTAAAGCATTATATTCGTCAAAGAGAGGAAGAAAGAAAGGTGTATTTCTATATTTCATTTACAATCAAATTGAGTACAATACTTATAACTACTATATGCACATTTAAGGAAAACAAATTAAGAACTTGGCCCCGTTTGAATTGGCTTTTGGCTGGTGTTTTTGGCTTTTGCTTCTAAAAAAAACACTTTGTACCTATTTGCATTGATTTATGTCGACTTAAAAGTGTTTTTTAACCAAATTGAGGGTAACTTCTAAAATAAGCAGAAGTATTTTATCAATTAAAATTACCAATTTATCTTTAATAACAATAATAATAATAATAAATACAATACTATAATATAATATAAAAATGATTAATTTATATATTATATTTTAATAAAAATTTAAAAATATAATTATATCATTCTTTTTATGTTATACTTGAATTAAAATTTAAAATTATAATTGAAATATCAAATTTAAATACGAGTATATAAATTTTTTAATACTAGAATATATTCTATTTAATGCTAGAATATATTCTTACACTCCCCTCACGTGGAGTGTAAATATACACTCGTTCCCAACTTGCTACATAACTCTTGAAACCGCTTACATTTAGTTCTTTAGTAAGGATATCATCCACTTGTATCGGAGTAAATAGAGTGATAACTTGTCCACTTAAGACTACTGTGGACAAAACATTGTGTTATTTTTAATAAATACAAAATTTGTACAAATTATATTTGATTTGAATTTAAAGCGGGTCCTATTGTCTAAATGGGTCCTTTGATTCTCCTTCCGGGTCGATTTATTTTCCAACTTGGTTTTCGATGGCTTCTTTGATCCGAAGAGGTTTGGTCTTCAGTTTGACTTTGCCGGCTTTTGGAGGGTTTTGGTCTCCGTGCGGGCGATTTCATCGTCAGCTTTGGATTTGATGTCTTTTTTTTAGACGATCCGAGGCTTTGATCTTTGATTTAGCTTTGCCGCTTTTGGAGGACTTTGGTCTCCGTGTTGGCGATTTGATCATCGTCTTTGGATTTGTTGTCTTCTTTGGACGATCTGCGACTTTGACATTTGTTTTGGCTTTGTCGCTTTTGGAGGACTTTGGTCTCCGCATTAGCGATTTGATCATCGTCTTTGGATTTATTGTCTTCTTTAGACGATCCGCACTTTGACATTTGCTTTGGCTTTGCCGCTTTTGGAGGACTTTGGTCTCCGCGTTGGCGATTTGATCATCGTCTTTGGATTTGTTGTCTTCTTTAGACGATCCGCGACTTTGACCTGTGCTTTGGCTTTGCCACTTTTGGAGGACTTTGGTCTCCGCGTTGGCGATTTGATCATCCTCTTTAGATTTGTTGTCTTCTTTCGACGATCCGGACTTTGATCTTTGAGGAGGTAGATTTGGTGCTCCGTAACGCTTTTGGTGGCGTGTCCCTTTGACTTTTGGATCGAAGAGGGCCGAGTTTGCGCCTTTTATAAAGAACGCGATGAACACCTCGAAGCTTTGAGAGAAACTTTGAAGACCTTCCCTTGGCTTTGACGAATTCCTCGACGGCTTTGAGAGCTTTGATCCTTCTTTTGGCTTGGACATACGACGAATAACGTTAACTTCATCGATTCGTCAGCCAATATTGGATCATTTATCCAAATTAGTGACTTTCGACGAAAAACGCTTCGAAGGACACGAAGAACATGAAGAACAATACAGAGAGAGTCTAGAGACTTACCCCTTTGCTTAAATCCTCGATGCAACTTCGGTGTGTCAAATGAACTGGCCATGATTCCTATTTATAGGGGAGGGCGGCCTTGGCTTCCTTTTCGGATAGTGCTACGTGGATGGAAAGATTTTATAATCTTTTATTTTCCATCGGATGCCGTTTTCCATTCTTGACGGATTTGATTGTGCACCTTCCTTTCTCGCCAAAATATTTATATATTGCCCTTTTTGGAAGATATTAACTTATATATTTTATTTATTGACAAGATTAATTTATTTTGCTGCCAAATTTATTATGGCTCTATTTATGCACGTAATATTTGTACGATATCTTCCATTTTAAGCAGATTTTTGCATTAATAAGTGATATTTATTGTACAAAAATTAACATGTGTGCATAATTAAATACCATATATTTATTTTATTGGAATTTTATTTTCTTCCAAAATACATGATATTTAATTGATTTTAGACATATATTTTTAGTGTCTACAAAATGCCCCATCGAGACTTGTTTAAGCCGACGCAAAGCGTTTATGGCGTGAACGAGTCTCGAAACATAAGTCAATTTATTTTTTGACTGATTTTTTTTATGGCTATCATTTTTTGATTTTTTTTTTAGCCAATATTTTTTTTTCAAAGGGTTTTTTCTTTTTTCCTTTTTTTTTGACGAGATTTTTTTTTCCAATTGGTTTTTTTTAAGCCCGATTTTTTGGACTTTTTTTCTTTTGCCTAATTTATTTTTTAGGGCTTTTCTTTTCCTTTTTGTTTTTTTTTTTTGCCCAATTTATTTTTTAGGGTTTTTCTTTTCTTTTTTTTTTTTGGCATAATTGACTGGACTTGGAGTTATATTCCAAGTTGCCTACGTATCCGGTTAAGGAATCAAGTCATAATGTAGTTCAAAACAAATTGAATTTGTTTGTTTTTGTTAAACAGTTTATTCTCGTGTTAAGGAGTCTTGCTAGAAAGTTTATCCTCATTCCCAGGAGATTGAAGAAAGTTTATCCTCATTTCTAGGAGATTGTAGAAAGTTTATCCTCGTTTTCAGGAGATTGTAGAAAGTTTATCCTCGTTTCCAGGAGTGTTGTAGGTATGATTGCCCCCACTATTTGAAGTGTTGTATTTCTCGTCATCTGAGAAATCTTCAGTAGGCGGTCCTCATACATTCCACTAGACATCATGCTCAATTCCATATCATGAGCGCGAGTGGCGAGTTCTTCAAAAGTATGGGGTCGGATCCCTTCTAGGATGTATTTCAAGCCCCATTGCATCCCTTGAATGCACATTTCTATGCCGGAAGCCTCGGACATACGGTTTTTGCAGTTGAGACTTAGATTTCTCCGGCGGTTGATGTAGTCAATTACTGGTTCGTCTTTCCATTGGCGGCTGTTGATGAGTTCAGTCATGCTGACGGTTTTCCTTGTGTTGTAGAACCGATTCAAGAACTCGTGCTTTAACTGTTCCCAATTGTCGATAGAACCAGCCTCTAAGTCAATGTACCAATCGAAGGCGTTGCCGTTTAGTGACCGCACAAATTGTTTGACTAGGAGGTCTTCATATGTTCCAGCATCGTTGCATGTCTCGACAAAGTGCGCTATATGTTGCTTTGGGTTGCCTTTGCCGTCAAATTGTTGAAACTTTGGTGGTTGATAGCCCGTTGGCATTTTGAGGGCGTCAATCCTTGCAGTGTAAGGCTTGCGTAAGTGTGCGTCGGCCTTGAACTCCCTTCGAATTCTCTTTTGATTGCCCCCTTGATGTATTTGTCAAGTTGGGATATATGGATGAAAGAGTTGGATAATCCTTGAATAGATTTGATTCCGCCACCTTTTCTTTTCCATGATGTTGCTCCACAAATGTTGCCGTTTTATTTTGGACCGTTGGGGAAGATGGTTGCTTTTCGGTTGCATGGCCAGCTTCTTCAGGCTTGTCCAGCTTTGTGATAAGTTTTTCAATGAGGGCGTCTTGTTGTTGTATGTGTTGAGACATCCCTTCAATGATTTTGGCCAATGCTGCAAGTTGTTCTTCTATATTTGAAGCATTGATAGTCATCACCGGAGCGAAAGCTAATGTAGTCGAATGACTTGAACTTGGCCGATGAGTAGGTGGCATGAGAGTGCCTTTGAAGCTTTGATCTTCCTGGCAAAGCAGACTTTGATCCACAAGCTTTGGGTCCTCAATATTTGAAGCGTTGGTAGTCATCACCGGAGCAGAGCTTGATGCGGTTGAATGACTTGCAGTTTGTTGAGGGGTGAACAGTGCGGCAGTACTCTTAAAGTTGTCGTCTTCTTCATATAGTGGACTTTGATCTGTGATTTTTAGAGAAGTGTCTTCAGATAACGACAATGCTCTTTTGGTCATGCTTCGTGTTGTCATTCCAGTATTTGTCGAAGCGCTTGAGGTTTTGGACGCGATGGATGCGTCAACTTCTTTGGCGGCGACGGCGG